ATCGAATCCTGAAGTACCACCAATTACGAACAATATAAATATTTTAACTACAGGGTGATTGTAACTCCCTATTTTACGCGTGATGGACGTTCCTGTCTTGTAGAAATTATAGATAGACAGGATAGTCCACCATACATAAAATAGGGTTACTTTTCAATCACCCTGTATTTACAGTTACTCATTGCAGATTTTTTTTCTAAAGGCAATTCACCCCAAGCAAGGCGGGAGTGCCACAAGTACGAACAAGGTTACAGAGGATTGAGAACAAGAGTAAAGAAGCTTGCTTGAAGAAAGGATACAGAGAAGGACGGGCAACAAGCTAAGGGTGTCAGATTCAGATTGACATTACACTTGAATATTTGAAGATTATAATCATCGGGGAAGCAAGTAAGGGGAAGGGAGTTTCACAGATGGGAAGTGCAGGAGAAGAAGCTGTTTGAGAAGAGGAGACGGTTACATTTAACCTTTTTGATCGTGAAAGGGTGGGACCGAGATACCAACCTGGTAGCACGTTTAAATTCATGTAGTCCAGCAAACAGCGAAAGTAGCTCGCCGGAACAGTTGCCGTGAAAATATTTGTAGAAGCGACAGAGGGAGGCTACGGCACGTCTGTGAGATAGCGATTGTAGACTAGATGCCAGATGAGGACCTATCATCTTGCATATTTGTCTCTGGATTTTGTCAAGGACCTCGGGACGTACAGCGGGAGCACCAGACCATATATGACAGCAATATTCCATGGTGGATTTATAGATTTGAAGGATGTGCTCAGACGAGAAAAACTTTCTGGCACGACAAAGAGAACCAACTTACCTTGCGGTAGATGAAGCTATTGATTCAATGTATTTGTTCCCCCTCATGTCAGTGGACAGCGTGAGACCAAGCAGGGGTAACGAGACGCTCTCAAAGAGTTGGGAATCAAACATTCTGACGGGAGGCAGGAAGGGTCCTCTGCGGTGGGTAATGTTTGCAGGCAGTAAAGTTTCCATACAAGCCATTTCCTGTCGCAGTCGTCCACAGATTGTCCCATACTTTTGACTTTTTGCTACACCTAAGCCATGGTTTTAAAATCACCTCATGAATCAACGCCTTTATCCACTGTGCCATGTGTCCTCAACAACACATGGCACAGTGGATAAAGGCATTGGTTAGATCCATTAACAGGACCTAAAGAGTGTGAGTTCAATACCCGGTTAAAGCAGTAGAAAACTTGATGAGGGTAATTAACAGGAGATAACAGATAACTGACATCCATTAAACTGCGCACATGGAACTAGAACAGTCTACCCCAGTAAGCGAAATAAAGGGTTCAGTTCGACATTCCAACCACCTGTAGAAGCCCGGAGCGTACAACGGCCGAAATGTTGTAATAAGTATGGCGACAAAGATGAGGACAATAGTCCGAATAATGTAAATAGTGTACATAATACCTCATCTCAGAAATATAGACAGATACTGAAAGGCCGAAACGTTGTAATAAATATGGCGACAAAGATGAGGACAATAGTCCGAATAATGTAAATAGTGTACATAATACCTCATCTCAGAAATATAGACAGATACTGAAGGGCCGAAACGTTGTAATAAATATGGCGACAAAGATGAGGACAATAGTCCGAATAATGTAAATAGTGTACATAATACCTCATCTCAGAAATATAGACAGATACTGAAGGGCCGAAACGTTGTAATAAATATGGCGACAAAGATGAGGACAATAGTCCGAATAATGTAAATAGTGTACATAATACCTCATCTCAGAAATATAGACAGATACTGAAGGGCCGAAACGTTGTAATAAATATGGCGACAAAGATGAGGACAATAGTCAGAATAATGTAAATAGTGTACATAGTACCTCATCTCAGAAATATAGACAGATACTGAAAGGCCGAAACGTTGTAATAAATATGGCGACAAAGATGAGGACAATAGTCCGAATAATGTAAATAGTGTACATAATACCTCATCTCAGAAATATAGACAGATACTGAAAGGCCGAAATGTTGTGATAAATATGGCGACAAAGATGAGGACAATAGTCCGAATAATGTAAATAGTGTACATAATACCTCATCTCAGAAATATAGACAGATACATTCAAAATCACCATCGTAATCTCAGAATTCATTTGAAGAATTCATCTATGTCACTTAATCCAATAATGGTGTTCTGCAATATTTTCTTCGTTTTCAACGAAGTTTTCTTAATAGCCTGCTTCGTTTCTTAAAGGCATCGTTTACTATTTTGTGTTTTCGTCGTCTATTATTACACTAGTTAGCTAGTTCAGTTTCGTTTCTTGCTTAATTTCATCCTCTCCGATATATAGCTGAAACTTACTGACAGCCATACCTTATGCGTTCGTCTATATACAGGGTGAGATAAGTAAATTGTCGCCATTTTATATTTTTTAATTTCGCTCATGCGTGTTGTTTGTTTTTGATTTTGTCTACTGTACAGCATAGTAGGGTCAGTTGAGCACTGTCTGCGAGAAAAAGAGCACCGTGACGCAATTCACTTCGCCAGAAATTTGTAAGACAGCATGGCTGTACTGCTTGGCATTTGCACCGGAAGCTCCATTAAGGACATTTCAGTGTGCTTGGGTGTCAATCTGATGACAGTACAGAGGATTAGGAAAGAGTTGGACGAATGTAATGCTGATCACTCAGACTGTTCTGACATGAAAAGAGCTCCCGAATTTGTTGGAGTTCTACATCAAGTACCTTGAAAAGGTAGTGCTGTCCTGGGTCAAGAAGGTGGCTGGAAGTAGACCCTGTGTATGGTAAAAAGATTCTGCACCATGCCACACAAGCAGGAGAACCCAGTCATGACTGTTAGATAATTTATGCGATCACATCACCCCTTACATTGGACACCAAATTCCCTATACTGCAACACCCTTGATTATTATGCGTGGGGCGCAGTTAGGCGATGGGCCAGCAAAACCCCTTGTAACTGAAGGCAAGGATTATGGCAGCATTCACTAACTTAAACAAGGAGGCCGTCCAGAAGAGTTGCGGGAGATTCTGATGTCGTCTGGAGGTCGTAGTTGAAGCTAATGGCGATTTTATTGGATAAAATTAGTCTTTAGCATTTGAAGATATTTTTGTGTGATTTTGGTAAATATATCTGTTAAAATGAGGTGTCAGTGTTACTTTCAATTTTTTGCGTCATTCAGACGACAATTTATCCATCGCACCGTGTATATCTGTTAAAATGAGATGTCAGTGTGATTTTTGCGTTATTTAGGCGACAATTTATCCAGCGCAGCCTGTAGATATGTAATAAACAGATCTAAGTTTGGCGTAAGACCGAATGAGAGAAAATAGGATAGAAGCAAAAACGACTGTTTTTTTTACTAACCTTCCAAAAAAAATGTTAGATCCAAAATTCGACACAATTGCCAGAATTTAAAAATACAAGGTGCGTGTGCTATTTGAGGACATATTGTTTTAATTTCACTACACACTCAAATCATTTATAATATTATTTGTTTTTTATTTCAGATAACCCAGTCAGAGGAAAATGTTAACCCAAGAAATGAAAAGACATGCTGTCATTGTTGCTTTAGCTGCAAAACATAGTGATTTAAAAATCAGTAACTTTTTACATGTTGCCATATCATTTGTTCATAAGGTTCGGTTGGAGCTAGAGGGATTTTTGGCAATGTTTCCCCTGTAGCAAAAAGAAAAAAAAGCATTCACAGCGGTCTGATACCGTGAGAACACCAGAATTTATAAGGAATGTTCAAAACATCATCGATGAAAACCCCGGAAGAACTTCAGGTATCAGAGTGGACTATCAGAACCGTTGTACATCAAGACATTCTATATAATCATATGTAACGAGCAAAGGCCAATTCATATCGGCGAAGGTTGCTGAACAAAGTGAAAAATCCCCACGAACATGGCATGCTTTGGTTATTGTCTGATTAAAAAAAACAACTTTGACCAAGATCAGAAAACAAACAGACGGAATGACAGGTGGCTATGTGCATCTCATTCTGAAGTACCCAGGGTGATGCATACCAAATATCAGCCTACTGTGATGGTTTTAGGAGTTGTGAGCAGTGAGGGTCATGTCATGCCACCTAACATTTTCCCACAAGGTCTTAGGGTCAATGCTTCTGGTTACATTAATGTTCTTAGTGATTTCAATCCCCGCTTTGTGCCGCATCTAAGCTACGCTTAGAAATACACTATAGATCTTAGACCAGAATAATCTAATTTCCAAAATTTCCGAGCAAGTAGCACTTCACCTGGAAATATTTCATTTATTTTTTTTTTTTTACCGAGATTTTCTAAGCGCAGCTTAGATATGGCACAAGGCCGAAAGTAGGAAGCACCCAGAGAGGATCGAACTCACTATTCAGTCGTAATTGTTCTAGCGAGACAAGCTTGCTAACCATTACACCGCCTCGAGGTGCTCCATACTTACATGTAGAGAGTATCTGACCGCTCTGAATTTTTAATATTATTGTTTAAAATCATAAAACCCCAGTTAAAATCATTTAGTACCAATTCGGATTCGTGTGGATACTAAGCCAATTCAAGCGAGGATTAGTAATCAATACAATAAAAAAGTTGTCATAATGATAATTTTAATGGTTAACATAAATCTTTTTTTTTTTGTTTAAAATATAGTATTTTAAACTCCGCAGTCAAAATCTGATATTTTATATGATGCAGACGAAGGCAGAAAGCTTATCAATTAGTAGTGAGTTCGATCAGCACTAAGTCCTCTCTTAGTAAATCACTATATGATACAGATCAATATCTGCATTTCTGAGATAAAATCAAAAACTTTTTCGGACGTCTACTCCGGTATTTCTCGTTGGTTTTCTTGTTTACTTTTCTTAAATGTAAATGCTTTGTTTTTCAAGTTTCTGAAGAGGTTATGCAAAGTTTCTTTGTATTTGTCTCATTTTAATTCCATCAGAAGAAATCACACGACAAGCCAAAAAGATAAAATGTACCATTTTCAAGATATGTGGCATCAGAATGTCTTTTAGGAATTGTACATTATTCTTGATTTTTTTTACGTGATGGACATCCCGGTCAGGTGGTGATCTACTTTAAAGATAAAACAAGAGAGACATTTTGACGCTGGAATATTTATTTAAAAAAAAAAAGAATATATATATATTTACATTTGTTTAGTTTTGTTATGACGATTCGTTTTGGGTTAATTATATATATCTTTGTTCTAGTTGACATATTCCCTTTCATTTCACCGACAATTTTTCTTTCTATTTTTCTTTCTTTCTTTCTTTCTTTCTTTCTTTTTTTCTTTCTTTCTTTCTTTGTTTCTTTCTTTTTTTTTTCTTTCTTTCTTTCTTTCTTTCTTTTCTCTTTCTTTCTTTTTTCGTTCTTACTTTCTTTCTTTCTTTTTTACTGTCTTTCTTTTTTCTTTCTCTCTTTTCTTGTTTCTTTTTCTTTGTTTCTTTCTTTTTTCTTTGTTTCTTTGTCTTTTTCTTTCTTTCTTTCTTTCTTTCTTTCTTTGTCTTTTTCTTTTCTCTTTCTTTCTTTCTTTCTGTCTTTCTTTTTTCTTTCTCTCTTTCTTTCTTTCTTTTTCTTTTTTCTTTCTTTTTTCTTTGCTTCTTTGTCTTTTTCTTTCTTTTTCTTTCTTTTTTCTTTCTTTCTTTGTTTCGGGTGTATCAGCAAAATTGTTCAAATCCTGTAACAGCATAATTGTCCATTCCACAAGAAGTTTATAAAAAACTCTAAACTAATTCAGTTTCTTTCTACCGGGTTTCAGGTGGGATGTTTAGAGATCTTGACATTATTTGTCATACGAATCACTTAAAAGCCTTTTGACTTATTCAGCTAAAGGAGAACAGGTTAAAATTGTTTTGTGTCAACCTCCCTGTCTTCCCACTTGAGTAATAGTGAGAGGAAAAAGATCATTCCCACCTTCAGTAATGGTACCAGCATTCATATTCTGGCTACCACCTTTAAAAGTCCAATAAAGATTGGTGAATAAGTTTAAAAAAGGAGGGAACAGTAGAGAGGAAAACTGGATCAGGAGGTCACATCAGGAAGAGGGGTGATCATCTCAACTTAGATCTAAAGAGATCAATTAGAAAAGATCCAACTCAATTCATCATATGTTTGGCAGTTGAGAGAGGTGTTTCAGCTATGACAGTCTAATGAACAGTGAAAAAAAAACTTGAAAATGTAAACGTACGTGAAACCTGTGAGGCGTCTTGTTACACCCGGACAGAGAGTTAGAAGGTTAGAGAGGGCGAACATCATATTGAATAAATTGGATAGGAAGATGATTCTTGAATATATATATATATATATATATATATATATATATATATATATATATATATATATATATGTGTGTGTGTGTGTGTGTGTGTGTGTGTGTGTGTGTGTGTGTGTTTGAACTTAATTTCAATCATTTATGAGCTTCCAATCCTTAGCTATGATTAATTAATGATAAACATGTCATTTTCGTTTATTATCGATTTTATCACGTTTCTTCTGTTAAGCTTGGAGAGTAATTATACATTCTTATTGCTCAAAATAAAGTTATAAAAACCTCGGAGAATTCCAGTAAGATATCTTTAATCGTTTCTAAGATACAACAGTTCGAATCTTAATAGACAATTTTGCTGTTACACGATTTGGAGACTTTTGCTGTTACACGTGGCGCGTTTTTATTTCAAATTGAATCTGTTTATATGTTTGCGTAATGTATATCACCTGAAGAAGACCGAAGCGTACAACGGTCGATAGTCTAAAATAGTTCTATTGTTTGTTTGTTTTTTCCTTTCTTTCGGAAGAAGACCGAAGCGTACAACGGTCGATAGTCTAAAATAGTTCTATTGTTTGTTTGTTTTTTCCTTTCTTTCGGCGGTTATTTTCCTGTTTTTTTTTTTCTTTTTCGTAACCTTGTTACTTTTATTGTTCAACTCTATTATAATTCGTTTTGTTGGCTCCTTATTCCACGATCTTCTTTCCTGCGCCAATACTATAATGTCTTTCTTTCTTTTTTATTTCTATCTATTTTTTTTTTTGCACGTATCTGTCTCGTCATTCCAAATTTCCTTCCTTTTCCGTATATTTCATTCTGTTCAGTTTCCATGTTGTTTCTTTTTTCCTTGGCAGTGTTTGCTTTCTTCCTTTTTTTCCACTTATAAAATATATCGAAACAAATGAAAATCTGTTGTCGCTAAGACTAGTGAACAACGTGAACCACAAAAATTTTTTTTTTTTCTTGAGTTAGTTTTTGTTTAGTGCGCTTTTGAATTGTCATGCTAGAGAATAACGTATTTCCTGCTAAACAAAACCGGACAGATTCGACGTAATGTTTCGTTTACTTGATCTAACAATAATCGAGTTCCGCCGAGCAAGAAGACAATCTTCATCGGGAGGAGGGATGATAAACACAAGCGTTAAGTATCTTTAACCATAAAAATATGTCAGAACTACACATTTCGATAACACTTCGCCCTTGTTGACTTGACCATGATCCCATAAGCAGATTTCATCTTTGGAAAATCCCGAGGAAACTCGGTTGACCAAACAAACTCATTAATAGGATTATTCAACTACAACGTCTTTTATATGTAATTTATGATTTTGACATATACAGGCTTTTATACAAGAAATTGTACTGAAGATTGTTTTACGCCTGGTGTTCAATTTCAAAATCCAAAGTCGGATATGCTATGTGATAGGTACTGACCTGGCATCTCGACTACAATCACTTTCTCACCGATATAATGTGGCTTCCCTCTGACTTTTCTACAAATATTTTCATGGCATCTGCTCTGATGAGCTATTTTCACTGGTGCCCGACTGCATGATTTTAAGCGTGGTACTAGGTTGGCAACTCGGCCCCACCCTTTTGCAGTCGAAACAGTTAAATGTAACCGCTTCTTCTACTCTGACAGCTTCTTCTCTCGTACTTCCCGACAGATGGACTCACTTCCTCTTACTTGCTTCTCTGATAAGTATAAATATTCAATAATTTAAATGTAGTGACAATTTGATTAGTACAATTCTTGAATACAGTATAAACTAAAGTATTTAGTAAATTTGTTTTTATCTGTTGTTAACTGGGGCAAGAAATGGTTTATTAACTTTAACGGTTCCAAACCATAACTACTCTTTTTTAAGCGTCTTAGAGAACCTATTTTGTCTTTTATCAATATGGTTAATGCTAATCTCCACGGGAAAACGCCTTAATGATTTCCTCGGATATGTAACGATTTCCATCGAGTCAATTTCTAAATCTACTCGTTAGAAAGTTGGTTCACTGTGTCGTGTTAGACCTTTTTTTTGTCAGCATTTATCTTGCATATTTATACATCTACCATTCGTCCACGCATTGAATATTTTTGTCACATCTAGTTTGGTGCTTCTGTTATGTATCTAAATTCGCCGAAATTCCAAAGAATCTGCAATGTTATCAGCCCTGACATGGCATCTCGGCTTCAATCTCTTTCCCATCGCCTTAACATAGCTTACCTGTGGATTTTCTATAAATAATTTTAGATAATTGTTCGGAGGACCTTTCCTCTTTGGTATCTTGACTTCATGACTTTAAGCGCAGTACTAGATTGGCAGTTAGGTCTCATCATTTTACAGTTGAATTTGATAGATCTTACAGTAAATTCTATTCTAATAGTTTCTTTCTTCAGCATTTATTGTCTGCTTAATTGTTTCCTATCAACTACAAGATGGTAGCGTCAATCATCACCTTTTTGAATTATATTCTTTCATTGTTCTGTCGTGGGCAAGACGATAAACTACGTCCAACAGCAAGGCCTCTGATGAGAAAGGTTTGAGGAGCGGGAAACCACCTCTTAGCTGCTGATGTTCCCATGTCCACCCTGACCTGGAGTGGCAGCACCTGTTAGGGTCCCAGACAAATATTTAATATCCAAACTCGAGGCAAAATATTATGAAAGTGTAAAAATAGGGTTTAATATCTGAAATACTTTGTAAAAAAAAAAAAAAAAATTGTCAGATATATATTTTTGAAAAAACAAATATTACTAACAATACATTTTTTGAAAAAAAAAAAACTTACCAGCGAAGTAAAATTCTTACCAGAAATGGATTTTTGAAGAAAAAAAATATTAACAGAAATCAATTTTTGGAAAAAGATATTACCAACAATGAAGATTATGTCGGCATTAAATAACCCATTGAGGTTGATATACCGTAAAAAAAAAAAACAACCAACTTTCATTGTTTCTAATCACTCTCATTAAATCCTTGCGTCTTAGTTGCTTTATTTCCTTGTTTTACGTGATGTGATTAAAAATATATTTTCAATTTTATGTGTTTCTTTTTTTTTTTGAGTGATTCAGTTTCTATGGCTTATCAACCCTTTTCAGGTTGTTTAAATCCAGGAAATACTTTTAGAAGTTTTTTAGATAATTATGATTTAGTGATACAAGTTTTTACTAATTAACCCATAGGTAGGTGAGAAGATGTGGGTTCATACATTTCCCTAAGATATTTGCACGTAAGTAAATATAACGAAGCTGATCTGAAATGGAACTCAGTTCTCAGCTTAACAATTCCATCTGCACACCCAAGAGAATGATGTGTTCGGATTTTTAAACGTACTTGCGAGATGACATATCCAGAGAATATAAACTTGAGAAGCAGATGAAATTGGGAAAAAAAACAAAAACAACATAACTCACTGGTGTGTGATATTTTCTTTCTTGAATTTTTTGCTGTAACATCTAGTAACCTACGTAAAGAGCTTGTGTCGGTGGATGGTAGGCATTGTTAAAAGCTACAAAGCATAGACAGTTGTGAAATGTCGTGATCACCGACATCTTGAGTGGGACACGTAACAAAGAAGAAGAAGAAGAAGAAGAAGAAGAAGAAGAGGAAGAAACAGTTGTGAAATGTCGTGATCGCCGATACCTTGAAGGGACACGTAACAAAGAAAAAGAAGAGGAAGAAGAAGAAGAGGAAGAAGAAGAAGAGGAAGAGGAAGAATAAACGTTAATTAACCGTTTGATTTCGTCAATAAAACAGTTCGATTCAATTTATCAGAATATGTGACCTTTGACCTTTGCATAATATTAAACACAGTATACCATAAAATATAAATATTTTAGTGTAATATATCTGTTAGTGATTGATTAGGTACCTCCACGAGATCGCTAAAAAAAGAGCATAGCATGATGAAAAAGACGCCAAACTTGACGAAAACAAAATTTTATCTAAATGTTTGTTATTATTAAGAGGAAAGGTCAAATTATTTTGGGGGTATTTTTTTCCATTTTTTAATCGTTCCTAGCACGTCCGAAATTTTCGTTAAAAATCTAGTTTTTTTTTGAGTCAGCAAAATTGACCATTTTTTTCCATTTTAAAAAAACTGGAAATCTGACTTTGAAATTTTTTAAATATCAATTATCATTTTTTCAAAACTTATTTTAAGAAAATCAGAAATTATAATGTTTATTTAAAATATTTTGAACCAAACTTAACTTAGCTTTTGTGCCAAAAAGATGTAATTTGAAAAAATAAAACAAAGCAGGTCATAAACTTTCGCGTCTCTTGACATGTGATGAATGATATATTTACGAATTCCATGAGGCTAATTTGTTCTACGGAAGGAGAAAAGTGAAATAATTTACATTTACGTGAACAAATTATTTACCCCGTTATTTTTAACGAAAACTTTCAGCAGTCTAATTTTTTTTTTTTTTTTTGTACTTAGCTTTCACCTTTACGTTTATGATGCTTTATGGGAAATATATTGTAAAAGAAATTAAAATAAAACTGTTAAGAGTGACATTAAATTTCATATTTCTTAAGAAAGGTATCTAATTAATTTATAGGTACCTTTCTTATGAAATTTTATCAAATTGTACATAAAATACTATAATTTTATGTACATTTATTACATTCTACTGTTATTTGTATTTGCATTCATTTTATTATTAATTTTGATATTTCATTTATGGAAAAATGTCGTAACTGAGATTAATATAAAAAATAAGATCATATAAATTTCATAAGATGATACTGATACTTGTAGGTACCCTTCTCAGTTGAAATTGAAAAATCAAATTAACTTCTCCACACGTGTTTCGCAAAAGTAAAAAGGCCTTAACAGCGGAGAACAATGCTTAACTCAAATAACGCAACTTAATTATATTCTGGTTGGTCTTCCGTATTTTATAATTACAGCTCGATTATAAGCACAAAATTACATTTCTTAATTACTGGGGTTCTTCTGATTAGTCAAAATGATACAATTTACAACGCGCTAAAAAAGATCTATCTCATAAGGACACTTATGAAAGCCGATGCGACTTTTAACTAATTTTATAATATTTTAACAACTTAAATGTAAAATCTATTATAATTAATGAAATAACAAATAATTGTATTAAAATTCATTTTCATCGAAAAAATTTTTTGCTTTCAGAAAATATTGTCCATATTCATAAAAACAACTAAAAGCAAATAAAAGCATTTGAAATTAAATAATATCTTTGTTTTATTGAGTTTTGTATGTTACAATTCAGAGCTGATTTTCAGGTACTGCGTATCAATTAAAAACAAAAAAAACATGATTTGCATTCCTCAAAGCCCTGTGCTTTTAATTATTGTAATCACTAAAACCGATGCGATCGAATTTCTAGCGTTTTCATAAAATTAGTTAGGGGGGGGGTAATAAATATTTAAAAAATATTTCTACTATGACTTTCATAAAAAAAAACATATTTATAATAATTTCGATCATCTGTGAATAGTTTCTGAAAGTTTCATTAACATCCGATAATTATTTCTATTTTTGCACGATTTTTCAAATTAATGTGTGTCATAACAAAAAAACGTGCTAAAAATTGTCTATGTTGTTTACTAGTTCCGCTGATACAAATAGAAAAAAGGTTTTTTTAATCAAAATTTAGAATGTTCTAAAAAGAAGGAAATTTTTTTTAAAATAACTTTGGTCTTTCCTCTTAATAATAACATAAGCATTTAGACAATAAAATTTAGTTTTCGGCAAATTTGGCGTCTTTTTCATCAAGCTATGCTCTTTTTTTAGCGATTTCGTGGAGGTACCTATGATTGATAGTTCATTGTTTTTTCTTAAAAGTTATCACCTGTTAACATCTAATGTAAAACTAACTGAATACAGCTTAGTACTAAGTAATAAATTGCTAAGTGGAAGATATCTGCAGTAGAAATGCTTGATTCAATTATCGGAGAATGTTAACGCATGACGAAGATGGCTAAGTACAAATGAAATATTAAACAGGTGTTACCTACTGTAGAGCGATTGTTGATTTGTTGCTTGTGTGAACGTTAATTCTGCGAGATCATTAACGAAAATGAGTTATCTTCGATTCTTACCTTTTGCAAACAATGACAAATATTAAGAAGCTAATGAGCCTAATATAATTCCCAAGATGATAATTTAGAGTGTGGAGGTTATAAGCGATATTACTGTGTAGTTTTATAATGGAATGTAAAATTATGTTTAAGATATAATAATATAGATTATAGCCTACACAAAAATAATTGTGATGTTAGCGGTTTTATAACCGAAATTTAACAGAGTTTTATCGAATGTAATGTTTAAATTCGTGAAATATGAAACAGTATTTTAAGCAAATTATACATGTCGTGATCAATAGACAGGGTACAACATGATCTTTTGACAGAAATTCGTGCCTAATTTACATTCTTCGTCGTTGTTACGCATCCCTTCAGAAGATAAAGGATTATGGCTCTTCACTTCCTATTTTCTTTTGTTCTGTTACCCAAGCTCGACGTTGCTTAAATCCTATGATCGTACGGTAACCGATGGTTCAACGTTATGAGGCCGTAACCCTCGTTTGTCTACTAAATCGACAAGAGAGACTTATCAATTTAACTAAACAAGCAGAATTGGCCAGACAGTTATGTGTCATGCGTAGTACCCGCTTAGGTGATCATGTATCGTTCGATATCTGACTGACGAGGCAGATTTTTTTCTTCTCGCAGTAGGTTGCTTTTTTTCTGCGGTAACCCACGTGCTATCCATGGCTATGGAACCCGGCCTGCCTTGTTAAATTCCCACAGCTTGGGGGAGAAGAAGAGGATTCATGCCTTTTCCAAGGGTATTAGCACGTAAGTAATGGATTCGACAGGAATTCGAGGAATTCTTGAATACATTTAATATAAAGAATTTGGTCTTTTTTTTCTTTTTTTTGTTTTTGAGTTGTTAAACATAAACTATCATGGCTCTCCATTTCATATTTTTTTTTGTTCTGTCACCCAAGGTCGGCGTTTCTTAAATCCTATGATAGTAAGGAAAACGAAGTTTCAAAATCACGAGGCCGTAACCCTCGTTTGTCTAATAAATCAACAAGAGAGATTTATCAATTTAACGAAACAAGTTGAATTGGTCAGTCAGTTATGTGCCATGCGTGATACACACTTAGGCGATCATGTATCTTTCGATACTTGACTAACGAGGCAGATTATTTTCCTGCAGTACTTTGTCAATCCGTTCTGCGGTAGATCAGTTTCCATCCAAGCTTATAGAACCCGGTCTGTCCTGTTATTTACCCATAGCTGGGGGGAGAAGGAAAAGATTCATATCTTTCCCAGGGGTATTAGCACGTAAGTAATGGATTCGACTGGAATTCGAAAAATTCTTGAATGCAGTTTAAAATAAAGAATTTGGTTATTTTTATGTTTAGTTTTATGGTTTTTATTTCAGTTGCTAAAGACGCACTAACATTGTTAGTAATGGAGTTTTCACCCGTCTGGACAAATCACCCTAACTTATGTTTTCATTCACGTTGGCGTCAGTATGAACCAAAACTAGGAAAGGTAAGTTGTACACACAACAAAGATGAACAATAAAAAATAACGCCATGGCAAGAAATCAAAAGGGAAATCTTGTTTTCAATATTTTTTTTTACTAATGGATTCATTTGACATAGACTGAGAGGAGATATACGTGACATCTATGTTGCTACTTTTGTCTTGTTTCGCGACAGACTAACGGACCAGATCTTCTCTCTGGCCAGCGACAAGTGAAACTGTATATCGCTTATACTTTAACAGTATCTGATGCGAACTTTACCAATCTCTCTATCTCAACGCACAGCTTTCTGCCCTTTTCAGGTTCATGGTCATACCACTTTTGGGTTCAGTTGCTTGAAAAGCGAATCGTGTTCATGAGACGTAGCTTGGCCGTTTCAGAATCGGTAGCAAATCTGCAGTTTGTGTCTCAGTCGCAAACGGCGTGTGACAAAGCCTTACACGGTTCTCAATATGATATTGAAATAGTCCTAAGTGGAAACTTAAGGCGTTGAAAACAAGAACATACACATATTTCAAAAGGAACCTGTACAGCTGAAGTGAATCTAGTCTCGAATTCGACTAGAATAAAATTGGTGAAAGAACTTCTGTTCACAAATAACGTTGGTGTACTGGCCTAATCTGTCTCAGCCTGACAATGTCCTTCGTTTTGCAATGGCCACATGATTCCTGGGTTTGGATTAGTAAAAGCAAATAAATCCTTTGGTGGCCTTTGAAAGCTTATATAGATCAATAAGAACTTGAAGAATAAAACGATTATGCTGTCTACTCTCCTTTATAGTCCCGAATCTTGGGTCATCTATAGACGTCACTTCTAATGTCTATTCACTATTCTCAAAATACCCTGGAGGAAATTCATTACAAACGCTAGAGCACTCAAGAGTTCTAAAACCTTCAACATTGAGGCAAGGTTACAGAAACACAGTTGCGCTGAGATGGTCTTGTATCGAGGATGGAAGACTGCCTACTTCTTGAGAAAAAAATGTGGATTATGAAAAATAGGAATTGTACCCATCATTATCGGTAGGCTTGAGATAGTTCCTCAGCAAATCGAAATGGAAATTCAGGACACTATTTAAACTGTCCAAATCAATCAGGAGTCATAGAACAGTGGCATACAGCAGATAGTACTTGCTGGTACTCGTACTGCAAAAAGAGTAAAAGATTATATAATATTTATAATATAGAATACTGAAGAGAGTGCATGGGTAAAGAGAACGAATATTGCCATTTTACGTTCGACAGATATTGGTGACGTGGAAGTTTATATAATAAGATCAATATATATTGTTAACGGCCAAGTGGTTAGAACGCTCGCTTTCTGACCATGAGACCTGGGTTCGAATCTCACCATGGTCGGTTTGTCTTGATGTTATCTGAAAACTATACCACGGGTTGATCGAAGCCTTGTGAGTTAAAATGGGTAGACGGAACCCTTGACGGAAGTCAGAAGTCATCGTAGCCGAGGGCTTTAGCTGGCCTTATTGAAATTGTTGATCACGCTAGACAACTAACAGAAACTGAAACTAAGGTGGGCTCTGTGGGTGTTGAATAAACACTGAATACACCTGAGCAAGCGTCTGCAATAAGGATTAGCTAGCCTCGAATACCAGTGGCCAGCGTTAAAATGTTATGTTAGTGTGAATACTTGCTGACACTTGAAGTCCCACGGGAGCCACAACTGAATTTCTATAAAGTGAAGCCGTTTTCAAATGAAAAAAAAAATGCGCCTTGCTTTTTTTTAAGGTTTAAAAGAAAACAAAATAGGGTAAATATTTTCATCTTGTTTTTTTTAATGGGTTTATTCTTGGCTGTTTTCGGTGCAGATGGTGACACCAAAGCCTAGTACATTCAGAAAATAAACATGTTCTGACACATTTGGATATTAAAAACATTTTTATATTACTGAATGATCGATCCAAATTCCTAACCCCGAAATTGATAAGGTAAATGCTTAAAAATATTAAAGCGTGAATGAAATACATATTTCTAAAGTTACCTCTAATCTGTGGCTAATGTTATCAAATATTCAAATGAAAAATGATTCGTAATTATAGCAACTTAGAATAAATCTATGAACAAATATATCAATGTGAGAATCCTGTTTCTTGGCTGAGGTGGTTGGATACTTCACTCACGGTATCTACTCTGTCTCACCCCCACTTGAACCAAATGTGACACAAGGTCTATTTTTCGATGGGGACTCGAGAACGTACGTCCGGGACAGGAACAAAACTTCCCCTCAGCCCCGACTCCCAACCGGCGGTTGCGCTGGCCTCGGTGCGAGCACCGATCCCTCTCTCTAGTGCAATGGGAGGGCGCGGCCTCAGGCTGCGGTTCCCCAGGGCTGGGCACCTCTGCAGTATTATTTTTCTCAGTTGCACCCCTCTATCTTTTGACAGAGAAGCCCTCAGCGCATTCTGTCCAAAGACAGAGACGCAACTGAGAGACGATAAGTAAACGTGAACTTACTCAAAATGAGTAAGGTTCACGCTTCCAACGCTTTTCTGACATAGCTAAGACGAGAAAATTGGTGCTTCACAATCTTACTACCTTCACCATTTTCCCTAATCAGCAAGATTTCAATCGCGATTTTATTTAATTAGCGTACACAATTTTCTTACACTATTTCCCCTCAATGGTTGAATGAAAAAAAAATATGTTTCAATGCTTATTTGCCGCAACACAATCTCCTTAACACCGTTTAACTCTCTTCATTTGGCTTGGTATCAGACCTATCAAGGTTAGTAAATACTTGGACCTGCTTCGGAGTACCCGGCGTCCATGACCGGGTACCCTTGACCGTGTTCACAAATTTTTATTATACTGATTTTAAAGGAGCGTAAGCCTTACCTCAAGTGAAGATTGGCAGAGTAGGGTCATCTTACAACAGCTTCCATTATTGGCCGAATGAGGATAGAATATATTTCCATACCACCTTTTTGAAAAATAGCGCAATACAATATTCTTACACTTTTTCTTCTCACCATTCCAAAGAAAATCGGCACAGAGAGCAACCTCGTTTCTTGAACGTCTCACATATCGAACAAATCTGTTTTTGAACAGAATATTCGAGATGGAAATACCTCGGTTATCAAACAATTTTCGCCCTTGGATTTCTTCCTTTGATGTCATCGCAAAAGTAAGTTCTATGCCAACAAGCCCAAAACAATTCAACAGCTGAGATAATAAGGCATATTGGTGAGATCGAGGAGGAGATATGCAGAGACGTCATCAAAAATTTTGACCATCGAGTGGAGGTGTGTCGCCGAAACCTTGGACGATATAATTTTTCACACATAATTGTCATGACTTAAATAACATGATCCAATAGGAATATAAATCAGTTTTCACCAATAACACTGATTTATTTATACTTATATTTACTATTATTTTATTTAGACTTTGATCCCCCTTAATGAAACACCTATATATATATATATATATATATATATATATATATATATATATATATATATAGATAGATAGATAGATAGATAGATAGATAAATAGATAGATAGATAATATTAGTGGTAAATATACACATACATATGCAAAATATATAAATATATATACATAGGTGCATACACATACATGTATATTTTTTAATAAAAATATTCAAGAGGATAGAATCCAGGTAGAACTCAATGTCCAGGGACAGGATATAATAAAAGGCTTAAACACTAATATTCCATGGTCATAATTTATTCCATTGGAATCGTAAATGATCAATTCATCAGACCTACAAATTCAAAAAAGAAAACAGAAAAAACAACTCCGGAAATAAAAATAGAATTTAGATAGAGTATAAGTATGAGTGTGAGACGAATGTTACCCTCACTTTAGCTCTAACATTCGTCCCACCCTTTTATACCTCTGTCTAAATTCTATTTTTTATTTCCGAGTTGTTTTTTCTGTTTTCTTTTTGAATTTGTAGGTTGATGAATTGATCGTATTTACGATTCCAATGGAATAAATTATGACCATGTAATATCAGTGTTTAAGCCTTTTATTATATATATATATATATATATATATATATATATATATATATAGTGCAACCTCGGTTCCTGAAATTCGAACAAATCGATTTTCGAACAGAATATGCCTCGGTTATGGAACAAAATTTCGGTTCTCGAACAACATTGTCGAACCGAGTTAACCCGGACGGAATTATTTCTTAGTCGACCGCCATGTTGTATACGTTCGTGTGTTGTGCTGTGATTTTCTTTCCAAATTTTATTGTACTCTGCCTTTTTTTCTCTTCATTAATCCTCAGTCATAGCTCCAAAGAAAGCTAGCTGTGATACTGGTAAAAGAAAAAGAAAATTTAAGAGAAAAATCAATTGTTGGTGGTATTGTCTCTTCCTACTAAGTTTCATATGAGAAAATCAACGATCTATACTATTCTTATTAATAAAAAGACGCTCATGTCTTTCCTCCGTTTTTTTCAAACAATAACATCTCTTTCCTTCCCTCCCACTTACGCTATCAAGTCTCCTACATACAAGTACGGTAAAATTAAAGTGTGAGTCTATGTTTTATCTATTTAGTATTATGTTTTTTTGTTTTGTTTTTCTTTTTAGATTTAATGATTTTTATTAGTTTTATTTATTATATTATTTTCATCAGATTTGTGTATAAACTTGTTCCCAAAGTACTATTGCTAAAGTTTAAATGAGCAATCATCTTGGCACCAGGAACGGATTAATCCATTTTTACATTAATTCCTATTGGAAAAATAGTTTCGGTTTACGAACATTTCGGTTTACGAACGGAGTTCAGGAACGAATGAAATTCGTGAACCCATGATCCACTATATTTAAATATTTTATTTTTACAGTTTCATACCAAGCAAGGTAATAAAGCGACTAAGACGCAACAGATTACTGAAAGAAAACGAAAAGATGCTAGTGAGGAGAAAGAAAAATAAAATAATAGGTTTCAGGAATAGAGAAGATGTCAATTGACGTTACATTTAAATTTTTGAAGATCGTAGTTGACAAAAAAGCAAGAGAGTTCCAGAGGCGAGAAGAACCTGTTAGCCTAGGACTTACAGTTATATCTACCTGGTTCGACAGTAAAATGATAGACGAGAGATATTTATTGTTTGGAAAAGGAGTCCTCATTCCATAGAATCACCAGTCTTTCTGGAATCGTTTTCTTTATTTTCTGTTTCTTAGTACCACTTGACTCTTCTTGCTACCAAAAATTATTCAATGAAATTTGTTTTTGTCTAAAACAATGATTCCTATCCTAGGGCCCATGTCCCACCGGTGGGTCATGGTAATATTTTGGTGGGGCATACGTATGATGTGCCCTCTTCGGTTTACTATACAAAAAGAATAAGGAGACAATTGGAGAACGAACTATTAACAGTGAATTGTTTTCTAGTGAGTCTGAGAGTGAATGCATGTTAATACATACGATGCATATACAGTATG